TCGCGAAGTTGCCCATGTAGTTTCCTAGTGGAAGTCGTGGTTGGTCGTGCGGACGTGGTCTCCATGGAGGCAGGTGGTCGTCTGTCGGCGTTGTGTCGCTGAGCTTTAGGTATCTGTTTCTGGTCAGTCGGTGACAGCCTTGATGTGGAGAGCGGGGCCGCTTTCGGATCTGGCCTCAGCGGTAAGTGGGGAAGGGGCCGTTGGAGGCGTTGTTGCACTTGTCGAGGTGCCTGTGCCATCCAGGTAGAAGTAGATGATCGTTCGGGAATATGTAGTTGTAAGTGTTGGTTGCTCAGTGGTGGTGTACCACGTAGTGTCAATTGTCTTCGTCGTGGTCGTCCTCTTCAATTCTGTCTTTGCCACGGCGTGCTGTCCAGCCTCCTGGGCAGCGCATGTCGTGGCTCTCACGCGGAGGTAGTGACGTGAGCAAGAAGGGCGTCTGAGTGTGCTTGTAGTCCTCGTCGTTGTCTGTGTAGCTCCCTTCGTCGCCCCAAGGGTTGCGGATCGTGGTGCTCTGGAGTGGTTGTTTTGGGGGTACGATTGGTGTTGGCGTCGTGGCCTTGGGCAGTGGCGTAGGTTCATGAGTGCGTGACGGCGATGACCTTGCTTGCTGGTGTTCCTTCTTGGACCTGAAGTCAAGGCGTGGTGAATATTACTGCGGTGGAGTGGGTGGGATGTGGCCAGTGCAGTGTTTGCGGAGCATGTTCTCGTTATCGTATTTCTTTTACTTTGCTGGCATTCGTTGTTCTTTCTGCCCCTGAGTCCATTCGTAGTGCGGGTTGTCGGCGCCGATGTCGGTCGGTATGTTGAGCATCGTCGTGCGTATGAACTTGGCTAGCCTGAATACGAAGTTAGTGTTGCGTGGGCGGGATCTTTGCATTGTCGGTGTGGGCTTGCTTGTGTCGCTGTTCCTGGCCACTGATCGCGTGTGTGTGTGTGTGCATGTGTGTGTGGTTGCAGGTTTGTTACTGATATTGGCGTAAGTCCCCCGGTGATTGGCGGCCAAGCTGGGTTGTCTGGCGGTGGTGACTGGAGCTCGAAATGTGTTGGAGGCGGCCGTGGGTGCTGTGGTATTTGTTTGTGGTAATGGCCCTGTCATTGTGTAATTCTGTGGCGTGGTCGCCAACGTCTTGTAGCTCAACGTTGTCGGGCTGCTTGTAAGTTGTCGGTGGTGTATTATGCCTGTTGGATTTGTCCACAACCGATGTAGCCCACGGTCGATGTAGTGTTGCTGCGCCTGATGTATGAAGTACGTCTGCAAGTAGGTTGGTGAGCGAAAGTAGCTCGGACCCTGTGACGGTGTCGTTTCTGAATTGGTCATGGAATTGAGGAACGTGATGGTTGCTCTGGGTTGGTGCCTGGTGTGGATCCCGCTGTTTCGTCGGTGGGGAATTCGTGGCGCTTCTCGTGGTGTTGGTAATATATATATATATATATATGCATGTATTGTAAAGCGTCTCTTGTATGCCCTTTTCAGTACCATCCTTGTTGTGATGATGTTGTCTCATACCTACTTTGTCGTGGTCGATGTCGTCGTTGATCTTGTCCCGTCATTGGTCGACGATGAATTCGCGGCGTATGTCGTGGTTGGTAGTGTCGTTCGGTATGAAGGGTTGTCCGTCACGTCGGCAGCCGGCGCGCTTGCAGAATGAAATAGTTTGTGGTCTCTCCTCCAGCAGTTGTAGACGTTGGCTTGGTAGCTCGTGTCTATCAATTGTTGTGGTACTGTCTCCAGGCGAGACAGTCGTAGGGTAATGTTGTTCAAGTTGCATATTCCATTTTTTTGGTGAGTTGATTTTGTCCCTTTTCCATTGTAGGTCATGTGAATATCCTCGCTTGTGTGACCGATCTCTTGCGTGCTCATCAAATGCGTCCTCTTATATGGCCGTGTGAGGAGTACGGACTATGTCATGCTGCATGACAAGTGGCATATTTATGGTGCCTGTGAGCGGCGCAAGTAATGACGTCGCTTAGGTTGAGCCTAGTTGCTGCGGCTGTGAGTCGTCCGTAAGTACCGGTGGGTTGCATACAACTCCATGTGTGATGTGATGTAGAAGTCGATCAATTCTGTAACTAGTGAAGCCCGAGCGCGTGACGTTTTTGCTGGCAATAGTTGAAGACTGCTGCATATTGAAAAAGCTGTTTCTACCTGAGATATCCCTAGTCGGCTCCCGTACAAGGTTTAGAGCGGGCCGTATACATTTTAAAAGTCAATGTCGTAATAGGTCGTACGCTTCTGTGGTCTCTCCCTGAGGCATGCCCCTGCGGGTTCCCTTACCAGGTATGAGGCGGGCCATATAGACTGTTTAGCGCTGGCTCTGTTTCTTCTCCCCCGGGCATGCCCCGTGGGGCTCCCTTGCCCGGTATGCCGCAGGCCGTGAGCATATGCAGCCCAGTTTTTTGTCATTGGGTGGTGCCCCATGCAGAGGCGGTCTCGTGGCCGAACTGGTGCTGAGTGTGTGACTATCTGTCATGCCGTCAGTTGCTGTTTACTTCAGGTGCTGTGGGGGTCTGTGTAGTGGTTGGTGTTTCCCCTTTGCGCCTCTTCCTGAGGTATGCCCTCACGGGCCTCCTTTCCAGGTGCGAGGCGGGCGAATTAAGCCGCGCCCCTGTGTGTATATTTCCAGCTGCATCATTTCCGCGCCGACAGAATGAATTGAGATGCGTGTAAGCATGTCCTGAACATGAATCGATTGAACAGACATGATTGGTTAAAAGACAAAGTGGATAAGAGAATGTATGTAAAATGCACGTCCTCTGTAAGGTAAGTTGTGCTGCGCGTGTGAGGCTTATGTCGTGACTTACCCTCTCGCCTCTCCCTGGGGTATGCCTGTGCTGGCTCCCATTCCAGCTATGGGGCGGGCCGAAGTCGTGTCTTCTTGGTTTGCGATTCGTGCGCGGTTGCTATATCGGCGCTGTACGCGCTGCGTCGCGTGCCAGTACGTAGAAGGATACCATGGGCCTGGGCTTCTGCGCAGGGCCGAGACTGACAAATGTAGCACGCTATAGGAAACGTCATGTCCGTGCAATCAGAGTCAAGTCAGAAGCCTGATGCGTGATCTGCAGATGTCACACATGAAATCATGACCGAACAGTTGAAGGATGGACAAGAAGCTGATCGTTGAATGCTCGCCGTGTCGTGATAGGTTGTGCTGCACTTGTAGGTCGTTGTGGTGAACTGCACATGCGCCTCTCCCTGAGGCATGCCATTTTCGGGCTCTCATACCAGGTGTGTGGCGGGCCGGAGTCGAGAACATCTTGGGTGATGTCTGTGTGTGTACTTTGTTGGTGTTGTGGGGTGCTGCGCCGCGTGTTGCGTCGTGTGCTGTTAGACCTGGGCTGGCACGGGAACGGAAAGAGCGTTGCAGGAATTGGCCCGAGATGGTTCCTGGCACCCTTCGCCCTGGGGAGCTTTGGCGGGACGAGCTTGTTGCGTCATCGCTCTCTGTTGGGAGCCCTGGTGTTTAGAGACTTTTACGTTGCCGCTCGCTCTGGGGAGCCTTGATGTTCAGAGCTCTTTACGTCACCGCGGTCTGGGGAGCCTTGGTTTTCAGAGCTTGTTACGTCACCGCTCGCTGTGGGGAGCCATGGTGTTCTTTGGCGTCTCTGGGGCTTCTGGGGAGTCTGCTGGGGACCCTTCGGGACCGTTTTGGGACTCATGGACCGTCTTGGGGCCAGCCCAGGACCTCTGCGAAGCCCTCTGCGGAGCCTCTTCGGGCCCTTTTCGGGACCTCTGCAGAGCCTCATCGGGCCCTCTGCGGAGCCTCTTGGGTCCATCGTGGTGCTCTCGTGGGGCCGTCTTGGGGCCCTCTTGGACAGTCTCAGGCCCTCGTGGGCCCTTCTTGGGGGCGTCTGGGGACGATCTTTGGGGCCTCTTGGGCAGTCTTGGGCCATTGTGGGCCCGAAGCGGCGAGAACCCCAAAAACCTTGAAACACCCTAGAGGGACAAACACAGCAATGTTTTTTTTTGCATCCTGAGGCCACCTGGGGGGCCCTCTGGGCCGTCTTGGGGCCAGCCCAGTCCCAACCGCCTCTTCGGGCTTGGGAGCCTCTTAGCAGCCTCTTGGGGCAGTCGCGGGGCCCTCTTGGGCTGTTTTGGGGCCCTCTTGGGCCGCCTGGGGGCCCTCTTGGATTGGTTTCGGCCCCTTTGGGAGGCTTCTGGGGCCGTCTTGGGCCGAGCTTTGGGGTTTCGTGGGCCGTGTTGGGCCCTGATGGGCCCGACAAAGGTGAGAACCCGAACAATTTTCAAACACCCAAGGGAAAACAATGCTTTTGGCCTCCTGAGGCCCTCTCGAGGGCCCTCTTGAGGGCCTCTGGAGCCGTCTCGAGGCTCTCTTGGACGGTCTCTTGGCCATCTGGACCGTTTTTGGGCCGTTGTGGGGCCCTCTTGTGTCGTTTTGGGGCCCTTGAGCCGCTCTGTTTTGTTAAATGTGAAGGAACTGGCTATGGAAGGCGCCCGGGAGCCGCTCCATTAGAAACAAATACGAGGAACCAGGCCATGGAAGGCGCCTTGGGGCCGCTTCATCGGAACAAGTACAAAGAAAGCGGCCCCTGGGCTGCCATTACAACCATCGCCCCCCGCTTCGCCCCTCCCGTGAACCCCTCCCTGAGGGCCTTCGCCCCGCACAGGAACGTCATCACTCGTACCTCGCCCTTTCCGCTACCTGTCCTGAGTTCAAACCATTGACGTGACAGGGGAATTCAAGGAATTGAGTCCCTCTCAGCCTTTGCATCGACAAACTGAAATCTACGGAGGGCAACAGCGCGTCGCAACACTTCGTGTGCGTCATCATGGTCTGCCCTTGTGCCACATGTGACGGTGGGCGTAAGCCTTTGGGGAAACTCAGCATGCAATTGAACAAAGACCTTGTGATCTACCCCAGTCCAGTTGCTCCCAATAAGCTTTCTTTTGTCAGGCCTGTATGCGAGTGAGCCAGATGCCGGCGCATGCGAGCTTCTCGTAGAAATTCTCTAGGGCACGACGTGTATCGTGAGCATCTATGTCGACGACTGTGCTGCATGATCAATGTGGCATGTATTCCGACTCGGACAACCTCGCGATCCTCGCGGCGTGGGCAGGCTGGTTCGACCGGCCGTTTTTGCTACAACAGGATAGTAATATCCAGCGGCGCCGCGCAGACGGCGTCACGGCGGGCCGCGTGGGCAGGCAATTTCTGGGGGCAGAGGCTGTTCGACCTCTCCCAGAGCTGCTCGACCGACGCCTCCGCAAAAACTTTCAGCGGACGGCGACCGAGATGTTCGCCCCTCGTGGCACGGCGGCTCTTGAACCCAGGCTGCGGCGCAAACTGAACAGGTGGCACATTCCACATTCCGCATTGCCAGCGGATTTGTGTCTCGAGGTGACTACGGTTCTTGGCCCTCGTGGGGAAATAAAAAGTCTGGGCGGCCTCATGGCGTGCGCTTTGGAACGGGTGGCTTACGGCCCGCCGGGCCCAGGGTCACGCGGGCCTGCCCAGCTGCATGTTCGGCTGTTCTACCACCGCCCCAGACAGTATCGAACATTGCGCCAGTTGCACGGCTGGCCTTCGGTGAGCCGACAACCTGGCTGACCGCCTGGCGTTTTTTTTGGGCCTCGACGCGGGGCCGAGCTCGGACGATTCGGAGCTCGTGCTGCACGGCGTCCGGCTGGCGGCCATGCGCCCGGTGCGTTGCCGCTGCCGGCGCGGGGCGCTGCGAGAGGGTCCGCCGCGACGGAGGCGCTGCAGCAGGCCTGCCGGGAAGTCGTCAAAGGAGACCGGCGCGCGCGCAGCGTCTACGACGCGGCGCAGGCGCGGTGGCAGTGGTGAGGTTTCGAAGGCGATTCGTGACATCCTCTCTCATTCTGTCAATTATCCTGCGACTCGCCCTGCGCGCAAGAACGCGGTCGCGCGTGTTCTACTGCCCCAGAGTTTCCTAGTTTTGGCAGTCGCAATGCATTTAGGAGTCAGCGCAATCATATTCAGTTCGCATGCCAGAGGCGCGAGTGGCACGAGGGGCCGAACGCTAGGTACGGGTGGCGGGGGACCAGCGTCGGGGAAACAGACCCCCTTCGACCCACTGGCACTCGAGACCGTTCGAGGACTCCTACCCGCAGTGGCAACATCCCTCCGACCTCGGGGAACTCTACGGTTGAGACCGCGCAGAATCTAGCCAACATCCGAGCTTTCGAAACGCTTGTCATTGAAGTTTCTGCGACATTGAACTTTCATGCCGCGGCCTTTTTTGTTGACCCCGGCTGTTTTGAAGACCCCAGAGGCAGACCGGGAGTTATTCAGTATTTATGTATGCGTATGTAAAAACAACGACCACGAGGCCTTTCAGAAGGAGATTGCAAAGGCGTCGAACCGAGTTTGGCGCAGGGCACGTCCGCAGCAACCATCAAGACTGCGTTCAGGGATGGATGCAATCTCGAGGGAACCATTGCTTTTGATATCGTGCGCAACCCTTCGGGATTCTACGGGCAGAAATGTCATGCTCTCTCGTCGCCAAGTCCCGGATTGTCATCGCGACCGTTTTGCGTTGCCGCGTAGCCAATGCACATTTGCAGCCGACAGGGCGGTGCGTGCTCAGCGGGAGTGAGGAGCATGTGTCTAGGCTTTTGCATCGCGCAGTGGCGCCTGGCGCGCCCGTTTGGAGCAGTGCCAACGACGTTGACCAGACAATGTTGCAAGCGTTCGTTCCCCCTGACCACGTTGCAGACTTGCTTCGCGACATCGGGCCATCATTGGGGCGCAGTAGTGCGTCATTCATCGGGGAAGCCAAACAGTGGCATGCTTTTTTTCTCGGTCCAGAGCGCGCTTTGGGCGCCATCGTGGAGAGCGTCGCTTCGTACAGGCAATGCCATTCTATCGACGCCCCCTGGGTGGCAAGGCGAGTGAGCTTCAGCCGCGATGGCGAGGCCAGCTTGCGTTTCGTCAGCGTCGGGTCCAAAGCAGGGTGCGTACCGAGCGGCAGTGTGCACGTGATGGCACGCGTAGATCCCTGGCTTAATGTTGACGTCGTGCGCGCTTTCTTTGCTTCTTGAGGCCCCCGCGCTGTCGATGTCATCATCGCGCGCGCGCCAGCTCGGGGGCTGAATTGCGAGCGGTTGTTCTTAGGGCAAGTGCGGCCGTGGTGTGCGACGCCCAATGGGTCTTGAACGCAAGGTCGGCCAACTTCTTAATGAACTGTTCTGCTGGTGAGGCGCAGTTGGAAGTCCAACGTTCCGAGCGCTCTCGGGGGGCGCCTTTGGAAATTCCCCAGCGCGCGCGTCCTTGGCGCCAGGTTCAATGCCTCTCCGCGGTGCCGGGGAGTTTGCGAGGCTGCCTCGCGGCCGCCAGACGGCGATTTTACAGGGGGAGGCGGCGGGCCCACTCGCGAATGATATTCCCCCTGATGAGCTTGAACATGCAATGCGCCAGGTGGGCATGTTCTGCGCGCAGGGGCGTCGATTGGACATGTCGCCAGTCATGCGGGAACTCGCCGAGCTAATCGCACTTTATTGAGTGCGTTCGGAAGTGCTGGCGCCAGCGAGCCTCTTGAGTTGCAGCCCGGCCCCTGCGCGCCCCTGGGCGCCAGGGGGTTGGGCGAACCTCGAGCCATAGCTGAAGTATGCGACGTTGGCAGCGCGCCCGATGGTGATTGCCTGGGGCCCCGCGCAGTCCGCAAACTTGTGTCTCTCGGTTCCTCGAGTGCCGTTCTTGCTGCTCTCTGCGCGGGCGGCCCTGTTGCTTCCCAGCGCAAATGGCCGGGGGGAGAGGGTCAATGCGTCGCGATATATCACCATGCTGCGAAGCTTTATTTCGACCTCAAAGGAGGTTATCGATTTTTGTCTGTGCGCCGATATGGTGGACAAGGAGCTCGGCAAAGAGGTATGGATACGCAGCAGGAGTGGGCGATTTGTTTCGCAGACGCTTCGCGCAATTCTTCGATGCGCAAATTTATTTTTTTTGGGGCCAGGCCCACGCAGGCAGCCAGGCGATGGAAATCCATTGCATTTCCTATATTACATATATATATATATATAAAAGAAGGTGCGACGCTATGGGGGGCGGATGTTTGGGAGGCCTCGCATCAGCCGGGCCTCAGCAGCGCGAAGTCAATGGTCTGATGCGGCATCGGCTTACTAAGAGGGGCCCTGGGAAGCCCGATGGGGCAATGAAGCACGGGCCATGCCGATGACGCAGACCGCCGATGCCCCGGGCCCAGCGTTCGCCAGCGCTGCTTTCTACAATCTGCACTTCTTAAGTTTGAGTGATCGCAACAGGTCTAACCATAACATCGCACATAGCAGACACAGTGTTCGCACTTGCGATGTCGCGTGCTTCAGCGAGCTTCATGCGTCGAGCGCTGTTGCGCAAGCTGCTTTCTTCTCGCATGTCGATGGGTTTGTTCTCTATTCCGCTGCAATGGGCGTTTGCCAGGCATGGCCATCTACGTCAGTGAGCGGTTGATGGCAGCCGTTGGGGTTGGGGGGGGGGGGGGGGGGGGGGGGGGGGGGCCTTCATGCTCGCATGTTTGTTTCGGTTGAAGGCGCTTCCAATGTTTTTCCCAACCTAGGCTCTGCTTAGAAGGGTTCTTACTTTATTAGTTTACAGGGGCCGGGCAGTGGAAAACGCTCCGGGCGGTTCCCCCAGGATCCGCCCCGCGGTTCCCCCAGTCCCCTGGGAGCTTTAGCTCAGCTTTAGCTTAGCTTTAACCTAGCCTTAGCTTAGCCTTAGCTTTAGCTTAACTTTAGCTTAGCTTTAGCTTAGCTTTATTGGCTTAGCTTTAGCTTAGCCTTAGCTTCGTTTTAGCTTAGCTTTAGCTCAGCTTTAGCTTACCTCTAGCTTAGTTTTAGCTTAGCTTTAGCTTCAGCTTTGCTTAGCTTCAGCTTAGCCTTAGCCTAGCTTATGCTGCTTTTCCTAGGGGCTCCAACTCCTCTAGGTCGGGTCGCACTGGGATAGTCTGTTTTGCGACGTCGGCACCTGCGCGCGCTTGCATGCAAAAGTTTACCCGGGCAGCCATTCCCGCGCAACTCGGACACGGCAGGCGCGAGAACACATTCGCGCAATTCGTATTTTTTTCGGAGGAGCGCGCGCGCGGCAGGCTTGAATTCACCTTCGGTGGGGGTCGAAATCTTGTTCCCCAGCCAGAGCGTTGGTCGCCCTCTTCCGCCGGATCCTGGCACCCAGGACGACGCCTTCTCGGGGCGCGGGGAGATCTCTTCGTACTCATCGGCCCCCCCCACCAAGGTGAGGTACAGGAGCGTGCTTCTAGTCGGGCTGGCGCCGCTCGCGCGGGCGCTTGCTGGCGCATATCTGAAACGCTTGCCTTCGCCAGAGTTGGCTGCGGCTTTCTGCGGCGTGCGCACAGACAACAAAATGTGCACGTTGTGAGGGGCGTGGCTTGCCCTGATCACCTGCCTGTGGGCGTTGCCTCCCCAAATCGGCCTCGGCGTCGGAAGAAGCGGTTAACCTGGGCAGGGGCGTGCGCGGCCATGCCAGATTGAGTGGTATACGACGACCAGCGATTGCAATTGCTAGCTGAAGACGTTCGGTCGCGGGCGCCCCGGAGGGCAACTGGATTGGGCGCACTTTTTGCGCGCCCGCAGACATTTCTCAGGCATGCGCGGCATTCGTTCATGTAGGAAGCGCGAGGAACTGCAACGCCTGCGAACCACATGTTCGACGCCGCGTTTGCCGCTTACACGGCCGCTCGGGAAGGGGGGCGCGTGGGGCCGACGCTACTCTCCAAGCGGTTGAAATCGCAATTTTCTTGCGCCGTCGGTCGCGGCGGAGTTTGAATGCGCCAGTTCCAGCGCCATCCTGCGAGGGGCGGATGATTTGCCGCGTGAGTTGCACAGGCCCCATGGGGAGGTATTGCGAGAACAGGCATTCGATGAATAGCGCCGCTGGGGGCCCGAAGGCGAGTTGGCGGCAGCAGTGCGCGACGGCGTCTCTGTTGGCAACGCGCTCGCTGGAGCCAAAGAGCAGGCTGGGGTAGGTCAACGGCTGAAATCTACTTGCGCGCGCGGGCGGCTTCAGGTTATAGCATTGCGGGGCGACGGCGTGGGCCGGCACGTCGCCTCGAGCTATGGGATCGGCCAGTGTTTGAGGGAAAACGCTCGTGAACGCCAAGGGGGCCCACGCGGAGGCAGCGCCCTTTCTCTGAGATGCTCCGCCGGTGGGGTTTGGACTTGAGAGATGCTAGACTTGCTCTGTCTGAAAGCGAGGTCCTGGACATCCCGCTAGCGCTGCCTGAACGCAAGGCGCCGGGTCTCGCGGGAGTGCGGGTCGTTTTGTACAAATTGCACGCGAATGTGTTGAGCCCAGTTGTTGTAGAAGTTTTCCGCGGATTCACGCGCGGAGAGCGCGAGGCGCCGTCTCGCGTGATTGATTTTCTATGGCGTGCAGTTCGTCTGCAGCAGGGTGCTGATGCCATGGCGTTGTTGCGCGATCTCGAGCTACCAAGCGACGGCGCCAGACTCCTCGGCCGCCTGCCGCGCCGAATGCTTGGCCAGGCTGCGGCTGCGCAGCTCAGGCGGATACAGCAGGCTTTTGTAACGGGAGGGGGGATCGAGCGGAACATCGTTGCAATCGCAGGCCATTCGCACTGGCCGCGGCGACGCGGCTGCGCTTAAGCTGGTTCTTCTTTGGATGCTCGAAGGGGTTCATTATGCTTTCTTGGGAGTGGGTCAGCGCCGCTCTCGGCCACGTGGGCCTCCCAGCGCTGCTCTTGCCAGGCGTTCAGCGGCTCGTGCACGCGCGCCGCGCTTTTCTGACGCGGTCGGGCGACGTGCTCCCACTTGTGAGCTTCTTCGCTGGGTACTCGCAAGGACGTCCGCTGTCCGCGTTCGCATATATTATCGCGGTGGGCCCCTTCCTTGCGCGGCCTGCTGCGGCACGTGGCGTCCTCCATGTGTGGGGGGTCTGCCACGATTGGAAGGGTTCCTTCAACGCAGCTAGTGCATTGGACGAGCTTTTTGCCATGTTCCACACATTTCAGCGCGCAGCTGGGCAGGTCTCTTCAGCGGGGAGAACATTGCGTGGATGCCGAATCGCGCGCTGACGGGTTGCAGCAAATAGCAAGAACCGAGTGTCGCAACGCGCCATAGGTCCTTGGGGTCTTTGTTCGGGCCCGATGCCTCTGGACTCTGAGGCGGATATTCTGCATGAGCTGCTCCTCAAGCTACGGTATTACCTGTCTATGCTGCGCAGCGGCCACGCGAGCCTTTCCACGAGGCTTCTGGCCTGGAGTGCGTTTGCTGCCCCTCTCGTGTCGTGCGTAATGCAATTTTGTATGGTTTCGCGACAATTCTTAACTTAATTTCGTGAGATGGCCTCATCGTTTTTCGAAAGAGTTCGGCGGGCACCTTTTCAGATCTTTTGCCGGGCGAAGGTTTTGTTCAAAATGGAGGCTTCCATCCAAGTCCCATTTTTTATGAGTGGCTGCCCTGACTGCCGCGGCATGGAGGCTGGGGCGCGGTGGAGGAACCCGGCCAGATCTCATGGCCAGGTGGGAGAGTGATCAGCGAATGGCGTCAATGCAGTGGCAATCAGGCGGACCGCGTCCGTTGTCATGCTTCGCTAAGGCGTTCGGTGTCTTCCGCGCCGCAGTCGGCTTCGGCGCAGATGAGACACTCTTAAGCATGATTTTGTGAACCCAGCCGAACGCATGCGGCTTCATGTCGATTCATTGTTGCTTGATCGTCAGGTCAACTGCCAGTGGCGATGTCGAGCGCCTTCGTTGCGGCCGCACTTTGAGACAGCCCTTTGGATGTTGCACGAGTTGCGCCGCGTGCCTGTCGCGCGCGCGCGTGAGGTCATCCACGTTTACCGAGAATTTACCGTAGATGCCGACGCCGTGTGCAACGCTGTATTGGGTGCGATCGCCGATGACATCGCGCCAGACCGCATGGGTCTCCATGTCTCGCACAATTGGGAACCTCTTGTTATCTCGGGTGCCTGACCCAGGTGAGAGTCGGTGCAAAGACCTGTGCCGCACCGCCTGGTCCGTTGTTCTGCCCAGTCGCCTTGCGCACTGCCGCCCGGCGAGTTTTCTACCCTTCCGTGATGCTTGCCAGGCGCCAGCGAATGGCGACACTTGATCTGCTAGGCCGCAGGCCCGCTTCACGCCCCGCACAACGATAGGTTGCGAGCCCCGCGAACGCGCTCGCATAGCTTCTGATGTACTTCTTTGTAGCCTGATTATCCACACTGCCGCGGCGCAGGTGACTGATTTTGTTGCACATCGTGGCTTGTATATGCCAGCGTTTGCTTTTCTCCCCCATCTTCTTATTATCAGGATCGTACCCTCTCTCCTAATGACGAAAACGGTCCAGACCAGTATTTCTTGAATTTCACACGGCCCCCGAAGAGGGACAATTTCGTTAACATCAATGTTCTGTCTTTTTCACCACATCCCAGGGTATTACGAGACATCTTCATCTGGTTGTTGCAGAATGTGTGTCGCCCGGAACCAAAGGTTTCCTGGACGGATAACAAACAAAATGCGTCACCCGCTGCCGTTTAGGCTGCAACCCAACGCGCCTATTTCTAGACCCGCTTTCATACATACCGCTCTACATATGCGATCGCAGAAGCTCCGCTTTGTCAGCCACCTCATCCCTTGCTCTAGTCCTCCTCCTCCGCCTCCTCCTCCTCCTCCTCTGTTGCTTGGTTTTGCTCACGCTGCTCTTGACCATCCTCGGCGAGGACCGTTCTGGCGGGAACACGAGGTGCCCCCCGCACCAGGGCCGACGACGACGATCGCACATATCACGTGGAGCAACGGACAACGGACAACGGGTGACGGACGACGACGACATCGATGACGATGATGATGGCGAACATCATGCCGAACAACGAACAAGGGTGACGGACGACGGCGATGACGTCGACGACGATGACGACGATGACGACGAGACGACGACGACGACGACGACGACGACGGCGCAGTTGACGACGTCCGTGCAGGCGTTCGCGCCGCTCGGGCGGACAGCGGACGACGGACGACACGTGACGAGGGAACCGCAGACGACGACGTTCCCGCAGGCGTTCGCGCCGCGCTCGCCCTCCGACCTGCCCGTGGAGCCCGGGGAACCGGTGGTTTCCCTGGCCCTCTGCCGTTGGCGCAGCCTTGCCGCCGTTCGCTCGAGCATCGAGGATCGAGGCTCCAGGTACTGGGCTCGATCATCGATGATCGAGGTTTGATGCTCGACGGTCGAGGATCGAAACTCGAGATTTGTCGTCTTCGGGCATCCGGGAGGGTTTCCGCCGTCGCGGCTGGACCCCGCTTGATTATCCTGTGGTCAAGACGTACTTTGGGAGGGATCCGGGGGCCGATTTTTGAAGGGGGTCTTCGTGGTCGTGGTGGTGGTGGTGGTGATCATCGTCTTCGTCGTCATTCTCGCCGTCTTCGTCGTCGTCATCATCGTGGTCGTTGTCGTCGTCGTCATCGTCGTTGTCGTGGTGGTGGTGGTGGTGTTCGTCGTCGTCGTCGTCGTCGTTGTCGTCGTCGTCGTCGTCGTCGTTCTTGGGAGCTGCCGAGCCTCTATGGAGGTCGTCGTACCCACGTCCAGACACGGCTTGGAAAGCTGGACAGGACCTCTGGAGATGTCCAGCGCCAGTTTTCAGCGTATTATCGTTGTCGTCGTGGTCATGTCCGTCGCCGTCGTCGCTATCCCTCTCCTCTGCACCTCGCAGGTGCGGATAGACTCCTCGTCCCCCGACGTGGCCATCTCGATGGGGGGCGCACACCTGCAGGGTGCTGCGCAAACACAAATCGCAGGTCGGCCGACGGGCCCCGCGGCGCCGCGGCGCTTGTGACGAGCGACGCATGCAACCCGACCGCACGGCGCGCCGCCCGCGCTCGGTGGTTGGTGCTTCTGTGTTGTCACGCGCGGGCCTGCCGCGGGCGCTCGCGCAGGCTCGCCGCGGGGATCGCGCCGAGGCAGGTCGCGGCGCGCCCTGGCGCCGTCAGCTTCGCAGGTTCCGTATTTTTGCTTCGCGCCGCGCTCGCGGGGCGCTCGCCCGCGGCGCGGGCCCGACGGCCGTTTTGCCCCACCCGCCCGCTCCTGGGCGCGGGGCTGCCTCGGTCGGTGGCGGACCGTTTCCGCTTCACCCGCTCGCCCTTGGGGTTCAACGCCCAGGCTGGCCTGGTCGGGGATAGCGCGCGTCACCGCCTGCGCCCCCCACGTGGGGTGCTAGCAGGACGGCAGCCCTTTCTCGGTCGCCGCACCCATCGTTGGGGCGTTGCGCCCGAGGTCGGGTACGCGAGGTGGGTCCGCCGAGATTTGCGTCACTGGATCAACACGCCGCGGCTGTAGAATCGGGGCTCATCTCGTTGGACAGGGTCTTGTGGACGTGCGTACCCGTCGAAGTTCTTGGAGCGATGCCTCGCGTATTTGAGTGTGCTGAGGCAGCCGCCAGAGCGCTCGCGAGTGCCGTCGCGGCAGCCTGCGCGCGTCTCAGACGCGCGCAGGCTCTGCCGCGCTGGGAGAAGGCGATTTGGCTCGTCAAGGCGAGCCCCAGCGACGAACACGACCTGGGAGTTCGCGGTAAGGGGTGCGCCTTCGCGGGTGTGATCTCGAGGAGACCCGACGTCCCGAGCGCCGGGTCGAGAAAGCGTCGGAGGAGATCGGGTGGTCTCCTTCGGGTTGTGTACACATGCGGGCAATGGCAGTACAGGTTGGTGCTTAGTCTCTGACTGCGTCCTGTCATGGCCGTGGGTGCGATCCCCATGTTAACGCACGACGATCCGGCGCACCTGGCCAGATATAGCGATGGCCCGGGGTAAATGAAGCCGTTTCGTGAGTGGGTTCCGAGTTCCACTGAATGAATCGTAACCTCTTAGCCCGGTTTGCCGTGGTTGGTGTTTCGGGTGGCGGCAGTTTCTGTTATTGGTGTCATTCGAGGGGGGGCGTCCCCTGGCACGCAGAATTAACTCGGTTAAGCCAGGTCCCACTACATCCAGTCTTGACAGCGTTCGACGTGGACCTCCCAGGATGGGAGGTCCAGGTTCCGTCAGGTCTAGGCGCGCGGGATTGGATCAACGCGCAGGGGTCGGCGAGGGCGCCCCGCAGCGGGGCTCAGAGGGCAGGGCGTTGAGGCGCTCTGCTGGAGGCAGTGGCGGAATGTACAGTGCGACCGCCGTACTTTCCAGGGTGGCGCCGCCAGGGTAGTGTGCTTACCAGCGGGGTCAAGGCGCCCCTGAGCGAATTGATGCCATGTCGTCGTCCCCCTCCTCCTTTTCCTGTTCCTCTCCTCTCCTCCCCTCTTCCCATCTTCTCTTCTTATCATCCTCCTTATCCTCCTTTTCCTCCTCCTCCTCCTCATCATCATCATCGTCTCGCGCGTCCTTTTTCGCGCGCGTGCCAAAACGTGCCCCGCGCCTTGTTTCTGCTTTCCTTCAGCAGCTGCGCGACGCCAGGCAACCCGAGAGTCGACTCCTGGGGCTCAGGAGGAGGAGGAGGAGGAGGAGGAGGAGGAGGAGGAGAAGGAGGAGGAGGAGCAGGGTGGAGTGGGACCACGATGCGGATGGTGTTTCTGATAATGATGATGGTGTTGGTGGTGATGAATATTGTGATCATGGTATTGGGGATAATGATGATCATGATGATACTGGTCATGTTTATCATGATGATGATGGTGACGACGACGGTGAAAAAGGGGTGGTGCTGATGATAATGATGATGCGGATGATGATGGTTATGGTGGGTGATGGTGTATGGTGTATGATGGCGACGACGATGCTGTTGTCGTTGGTGATGATGTTGGTCTTCTTCATGGTGATGATGTTGATGGCGGGCGATGATGGTCGACGATGACGTCGACGACGATGATGACGATGGTGATGATGACGATGCTGATGATTATGATGGTGATGCCATCGATGATGATGACGGCGTCGATGATGGTGCTGGTGGTACGTAGTTATGGTCATGTTGACGATGAGGATGGTGATGATGGGTGGTGGATGACAACGGCGACGCCGACGTCGACGATGTCGGCGACGACGATAAGGATGCGTATGGTGACTTTGATGATGAGAGCGATGATGTTGGTGATGGTGCTAATGATCATGATGTTGATGATGCAACTAATGATGATGATAATGGTGCTGGTGATCATGATCATGCTGGCGATGATAATGATGATGATGGTGGTTGTGGTGGTGGTTGTGAGTATGATGTTCATGATCTGGGATGCTGATAGTGCTGGTTGTGATGGTGGTGATGCTGATGATGACGATGCTGATGATTGTATGACCGTGCTGCTAGTAGTGATGATGATTGTAAGGTGTTGATGATGATGATGACAAGGATGATGCTGATGATGACGATGATGATGCTGATGATTATAATGATGACAGTGATAATGGTAATGATGATGCTGCTGATGATAGTGGTGGTGGTGGTGGTGATGATACTGATGATGGTGGTGGTGGTTCTGGTGATTCTGGTGGCAGGATTCAGGGCCAACTCGTTTTTCAAGGCCCCGCCGTTTGTGACATCGTCAGGAAATGCCTGTTGGAGGCCAGTTGATTGGCTTGCTGGTTGCGGAGCCAATATTCGTCATGTTCTGGGGCCTGCCGTGTGAGACATTTCAGAATTGCGAGGGGCAGGTTGGTCGGGTGGCTGGCTGGTTGATTGGTTGTCAGGTCAGCAGGTTGGGTTAGCTGGTTGATTGGTTGGCTGGCTGGTTGGTTGGTTGGCTGGTTGGTTGGCTGGTTGGTGGGTTGGCTGGTCGGTTGGTTGGTTGGTCACTTGGCCGTTTTTTCTCGGAAAGGGCGGATGCCCAGGGTTCTTTTTTAGATGGTTTCCCTTCTGGGGGCGACTTGAAGAGGGCTGGCGAAATTCATCTGCGATAAATTATAAGGTCGAAGAGGGCCTTCGAATCAAACATTGAGGATGTCCCAAGCGCAACGCTGTTTTGTAAAATTCCGATCGATCAAACATAGGGTAAACTATGCATTTTCGTTTGTTGCGGATGTCTCGAGCGGAACGCTTGTTTTGCATAATGTGTTGAGGATGTCTCGAGCGACACGCTTGTTTTGGAGACTTCCGAGAACTTGGACGCCCAAGGATGTCCCAGGGGACCTTGGGAGTGCGGACGCAGAGTATTTTACAATGGAGAGCGGTCTTGGGAGCGCGGACGCAGCTTAGTTTACCAAGGATCGTGACCCAGGGAGAGCGGACGCAGCGTAATTTAAAAGGGATCGTGGCCGTGAGAGCGCGGACGCAGCTTAATTTACGAGGGATCATGGCCCTGGGAGCGCGGGCGGAGCGTAATGCACGATAGGTCGTGGCCCTGGGAGCGGATGCAAAAGAGGACTCGATCCACAACGCTATAGAGCACAATCGCTGCATGGCACATCGCACTTCAGCACGGTGCAGTACAGCACAGCCCTTGGCACAGTACGTCAAGATCGGTACACTCAGCATTATAATTGCCCGTCGCCCAATCAGGTGTCTTGAATCCATTGCCATGCCTTACATTTCTATACTCCATTCCAGGTTCGTAGGTCGATCATGTTCCTGTTATGGGCCGGTTTGTTGGGTGACTCGATTGGCAGTTTGGCTATTTTGTTTGGTTGGCCGATTGGCTTATTGATTTCCTGGTTGACTGGCCTGTTAGCTGTCGGTTGACTGTTTGTCTGGCGTTTTGTCAGTAGGATAGGGAGAATACGGAGGCCGTAGATCAGGAGGATGGGGGCCAGGAGGAGCTGGAGGAGGAGCAGGAGGAGGAGGAGGGGAAAGATGGCGGGGAGACTGAAGATGACGAGAGGACGCGGAGAAGGATGGGAGGAGATGCTGGGCGTAGGTCGCAGACCTCCAGGCCCCATTCTTTGGACCTGCTTTTCGGCGCGCGTCTTTTAGACAGCCCCGGCGCCCCAGGCAGGCCTCTGGCCTGTCAGACTTGGGACAGCCGGCCACCGTGCCTTTGACCAAGGCGCCTGCGGTCTGGGGATTTTGCGTTTTGCATCCTCGGGGGACCTCATTTGTTCCCAATATTGGTTTCTCTTGTTCCCGACGCTGGCTCTGTGCGGGACTCGACGCGGATCTGGAGTGAATTCGATGAGGGCACGGCGTGGATTCGATGCGGATTCGACGGGTCGGATACGGATTCGCCACGGGTTCGACGCGGATGTAGGCGCGACGGGACAGAGGAGGTTTTCGAAGATGCATCGTAAGATTGGCATCTTCCTGGAAAGGGTAATGGCTCAGGGTTCTCTTTCAGATGGTTCCCCCCAAGCCTCGACTTGCGTAGGGCCAGCAAATTTATTAATTTGAGATAAATATCGAGGTCGCGTAGGGCTGACGAGTTAAACAGTTGAGAATGTCTCTGGCGAGACGCTTGTTTTTGAAATTTCGATCGATAAATCACAGGATGTGGGGGCACAATTTGGTCGAATAATTGCTTTCAGCTTGTGTTTTTTTCACATAGGGTACTCTCCAGGGTCACGAATCCATGTGTGCTTACGGATGTTCATATAGATTGGCCTTCTCCAGGGGGGCGAATCCGTGTGTTGTAGCGTTTGTGCCTATAGATTTGTTTTCTCCAGGGGCACGAATCCGTGTGCTTTCATATTTCCAGGTGTGCCTATCGATTTGCCCTTTCCGGCCTTCGTGGCTAAACGTGACATGAACATATGGTGTGGTGACGTTAACCCGGCCAGCCACCTGTGGAAACCAAGACAAGCATGAAACAAGATCTTTCCAGGGGTACGAATCCGTATGTTGTTACGTTTGTGCCTATTGATTGGTCCTCTCCAGGTTTTTCAAGGGCTCGTGGCTCTGGGAACGCGGACACTGCGTAATTCACGAGGGATCGCGGCCTTAGGAGCGCGGACGCAGCGTAGTCTACGAAGGATCGTGGACCAGGGAGGGCGGGCGCAGCGTAATTTACCAGGGATCTTGGCCTTGGGAGCGCGGGCGCAGCGTAATGCGTAATGCGCGATGGATCGTGGGCCTGGGAGCGTGGACGCAGCGTACAGGGATCATGGCCCTGGGTGGGCGGACACAGCGCAATGTATTAAACGTGGCCCGGGGAGCACGGACTCAGCGCAATTCACAATGGAGAGAGGCCCTGGGAACGCGGACGCAGCGTACTGTACCAGGAATCGTGGCCCAGGGAGAACGGGCGCAGCGTAATTTACACGGGATCGTGGCCCTGGGAGCGCGGAAGCATTTTAATTTACAATGGATCGTGGCCCTGGGAGCGCGGACGCATTATAATTTACAAGATCCTGGCCCTGGCTCAGTGGCGTCCCGCGGAAAGTTTCCTGACGCGCTCCCTGGCACGTTCCCTCGCGTGTCGCTTGGCATGTTCCCTGGCACGTTCCGTAGCGCGTCCTGTGGCGAGTCCCCCTGGCACGTGGCGCGGCGCTTCCCCTGGCGCGTCCCGTGGCACGACCCTTGGTACGTTCCGTAGTGCGTCCCTTTGGCGCGTCCCGCAGTGCGTTCCTACGGCACGTCCCTTGGCACGTCCCTTGGCGCGTCCTTTGGGACGTTCCGCGGTGCGCCCCCCTGGCATGTCCCCCCCTGGCATTGCCCAGTTGCACATGCATTTGAGGTCCGTAGAAGCGGTTCCATGCCTTCCAGTTTTTAATCCCTTTCCGGGTTTGTGGGTCGATCATGCTCGGTTGTGTTATTTCGTTGTTGTTATTGTTCGCTCTTGGCTCAGACGCACATGTTTGCCGCGGGCGCAGAGCCCATGCGTCAGATACCAGGCGCCGCCGGCCAGTCCCCTCCTATGCCGCTCTGGAGTGCACAGAAGATGGGCGCATGGACCAGAGGAGGAGGAGGAGGAAGAGGAGGAGGAGGAAGAGAAAGAGCATGTTTCCTTCTTCTCCCTTCCCTTCTCTCGACATTATTTCTTTTCCAGCAGTAGATGCCTTTCTGGTGATCCAAGTGTGTCGTTCATTGCCAGGAGCTGTCTGAGCTTGGGATTTGCAGTGGTGGCTATCGTTGCCAACCATCCTGTGGTGTTGGGCCCTCGTTTTGAAGAGGCAGCGCCGCGCATCCAGTACAGCGTTCCGTGGCCCCATAGTGAGCTCCACCGAAAGCCCCAGTGGCTGTGACCACATGCGCCCGCGCCATCCAGTGCAGCGCTTCGTGGCCCCAAAGCGAGCTCCACCGAAGGCCCCAGTGGCTGTGACCACATGCGTTCGCGCAGCTCAGTGCAACGGTTCGTGGCACCATGGTCGCTCCACCGAAGGCCCGAGTAATTAGTTGTGACCACAGGCGTCCGCGCCACCCAGTACAGCGCTTCGTGGCCACATACGGGGCTCCACCGAACACCCCCGTGGCTGTGACCACATGCGTCCGCCCCACAGTACAGCGTTCAACGGCCCAGTGGTTGTGACCACATGCGCCCGCGACATCCAGTACAGCGTTTCGTGGCCCCACAGGGAGCCCCACCGAAGGCCTCCAGTTGCTGTGACCACATGCGTCCGCGCCATCCAGTGCAGCGTTTCGTGGCCCCATAGCGAACTCCACCGATGGCCCCAGTGGCTGCGACCACCTGCGTCCGCGCCACCCAGTACAGCGCTTCGTGGCCCCACAGGGAGCCCCACCGAAGGCGGCCCCAGTGGCTGTGGCCACATGCGTGCGCGTCATCCAGTACAGCGCTTCGTGGCCCCATGGGTAGCTCCACTGAAGACGGCCCCAGTGGCTGTGACCTCATGCGTCCCGCGCGTCCCGTACAGCGTTTTGTGGCCCCATCGGGAGCTCCACCGAAGGCCCCCGTGGTTGTGACCACCTGCGTCCGCGCCACCCGTATCAGATGCGTCGCCCCTGACCCATTTCGGCACGCCCCTCGTGCGTGTCGTGGCCTATCCCAAGGAAGCTCCACCGACGGCCACAGTGGCTGTGTCCACATGCTCTCCCCCCGCTCATGTCGGCATACCCCTCACACGTCCCGTGGCCCGATAGGGAGTTTCCCCTCACCAAAATCTGACTCAATCGATCTCACTATCGATCTCACTCAATGGGACACCATGGGACACCACGGGACACCACGGGACACTTGTCGATCTTATTATCGATCTCATTATCGATCTCACTCAACGGGACACCACGGGACACCACGGGCCACCACGGGACACCACAGGACACCTCGGGGCACCACATCGATCTCAGTACCGATCTCACTATCGATCTCGCTATCGATCTCACTCAACGGGACACCATAGGGCACCACGGGACACCACGGGACACCTCGGGACACCACATCGATCTCACTACCGATCTGACTATCGATCTCACTCAACGGGACACCGCGGGACACCACGGGACACTTGTCGATCTCACGATCGATCTCACTATCGATCTCACTTTTTAGGACACCACGGGCCACCACGGGACACCTCGGGACACCACATCGATCTCACTATCGATCTCACTATCGATCTCGCTCAACGGGACACCGCGGGACACCACGGGGTACCTGTCGATCTCACGATCGATCTCACTATCGATCTCACTTTTTAGGACACCACGGGGCACAACCGGACACCTCGGGGCACCACATCGATCTCAGTACCGATCTCACTATCGATCTCACTATCGATCTCACTCAACGGGACACCACGGGACACCCGACACCACGGGACACCACGGGACACCGCGGGACTCCGCGAGCCACCGCCGGACGCACGGACGGAAGGGGGAGAATCATTTGTCTTGACTTCGCCCTAGCAATGGTGGACACCACGGGACACCACGGGACACCACGGGACACCGCGGGACACCGTGGGACACCGCCGGACGGACGGACGGACGGAGGATAATCAATTGTCTTGACTTCGCCCTAGCAACGGCGGACACCACGGGACACCGCTAGGGCCACCGCCAGACGGATGGACGGACGGGGGAGTATCATTTGTCTTGACTTCCCCTGTCAACGGCGGGTTCATTCCTCTCGCGCGCCCACGCAGCTTCGCCTCGCCCGCACTCACGACACGAACGAAACGAAACGATTTTCCAGTTGGGGGTCTCCGTTCCACTGCGATCTCACCCCTAACCTCCGATCTGTAAGTGTGTAGACTCAGGCATGGGTGCAGGCATTGGGGGAGAGGTACAATCATGTCGATGGTGACTTGGCGCCAGACGTATCAGTCAACGGTACCCAAGAGCTCCCCCCCCGTTGACCATCCTTCCACAATGCACTTGGCCGGCATTATGGATGCAGCTCAGCATGGCTTGCTTCTTGTTTGTTCGCAGGGAACCGCACGGGATGTCCGACCAGTACGACAGAGTGTTGTTAAGGACTGGTATGCGTCCTTGCGTGTTTGTTGTTCCATCATATCGTCCTGTCATCTTGTCGAGTGCTGGTGTTCGGGAGAGGCAGCATAGACGACCAGAGGTCGCCAATCCGAAAAGTGGTGAACATACTCATACGCGTGGCTCATGACCACGAGTGCTCGTGCGCCAGAGCGTGCACGAGCGAGTGTGTTGGTTCGTTTCTGAGGCTTGGCCGCATTTCTGCCGCTGCCCTTTTCCTGCTTCGCTAGGTGCGTTCGCCGCTCATCTTAGTCGGAGTTACACCAGCATTCATGGATGCCAATTTTGGAAGGTTCTCCATGGTTGTTTGTCTGTGCGTTTGTGTGTGTGTGTGTGGGATTGTGTCGTCGGATGCTGCGTGAGCTGGGCCTGCCCGCGCGCTTCCGCTTGACTTGACCTACGCCGCGCCGCCGCGCGCGTGGCCGCGTCGCCTAAACATTTGTTTGTGTGTGTAAGTGTGATGGTTTGCATAGTTGATCCCCTCGTGTGGATCCCTGCCCCGTCTTCTGACGGGCCAGCTTCGCGCGTGTGCTGTTTTGCTTCTGCCAGTTTTCTACGACTCGACCCTGCGCGCGAGGCCGCGGCGCCAAAACGTGTGACAGCGCGTGCGTGTGTGTGTGTGTGTGTGTGTGGGTGTGTGTCCTCCTCCTGCATGGTGGCACATGTCGTTACAACGGCACCCCCGTTTAGTGAGATCTCCGCCAGCGCGGTTTCTTTGCTTAGCCGTCGACACAACGTGTGTGTGTGCATGTGTGTGCGTTTGTGTTTTTGTGTGTGTATGTGTCTTGTGTTAGTGTTTATGTTTGTGTTTGTTTGTAAGGTTATGCTTGTTTGTTTGTGTATGTGTGTGTGTGTGTGCTCGATCCCCCCGCCATCCAGTCCAGGATGGATTTTGGCACCTCCACCGTACCGTAGCTTCGTCCTCTCAGCACTGTTCGTCATCCGCGCCAGGATGGTTCATGGCGGCGGCTGCTGAAGGACCCCAGATGGTCTCTGAGGGTTCGGGCGATTCTAAACGCGCGCGCGAATGTTCTTCCACGACTTTCTTCGCCGCGTCGCTGCGCGCAGGGCCGCGGCGCCTAAAAGTGCGAGCGTGTGTTCGTGTTTGTGTGTTTCTTCGCTCGGATACCACTTCAACGCAGCCTGGCATTCGTGGTGCAGGCACATGTGCAAGGAGCAGGGCAAGGGCAAATCCAAAGACCAGGCGCCTTTCGACCCGAGCCGCTGGCATCAGTGGATCATCGACAAATTCCTGGATGACATGAGCGCCAGCAACTACCACGTGGACCGGTGGTCCAGCAGCGCAGGCGTCTACGTGGACTGGGAGCGGGAGCAGAGGCTCTACCAGGAACTGCAGAGGAAAAGCGAGGTCGCTATGGGTGACGGGCGCGACGGGGACCAGGCGCACAGCTCCGGGTACCACGACACTTGGACTGGAAAGCGCCCGCGGCGCTGACGTCGTCGACCCGTCCACCTCTTGCCCCACGGCACCACAGCACAACCAGCCAATCGCTCCCACTACCTGCGCCCCCGACCCCGACACACACCCCAACCTGTCACCTGGCTGGGGACTGTGTCCCTCTCTTCCCCATGACCTGCACCCCATCGCCCCTGTGGCGCCCGCGTTCCGCGAGTTGGCCACGCACCCTTCCACCTGGACCCCGTCCTTCCTCCCTCTCTCCTCCCTCTCCCGTTTTCAAGGATCTGGGACTCTGTGTCCTACCTGTACCCATCAGCTGAATGAGATTCAAGGAACTGGGACTCTGTGTCCCACTCGTAACCACCTGCGACGCATTGGTGCGCCAGCGACTGGCGTGACACGCCCCTCTTGCCTGCGTTGGGGCCTCGTGTCTTGCATGTACGCATTGGGGCTTGTCCCCACGTGAGCACCTCGGTGCAGGCTGGCGCGACTTCGGCTGGCGCGGGACGCCGGCCTCTCTCCTCCCTGTTCGCTTCTTCCCCCCCGTTCGCTTCCCCCCCCCCCATGGCGGCGGCGCCCGGCACAGCGCGGCCCTTGCCCGGTGCTGGGCGCTGCACCTTGTCGCTTCGGCGACCCCGCTTGCCCTGGGCAGCGCGGCTCAGGCCCGACCCTCGGCCATGCGGTCGTCAGCGCATCGTGTGTGCGGTTCCCGCGCGTTTTCACGCGCTGACTGTGCAGGACAGGCTTCCTCCCTGCGCACCGCCGACTTCCAGTCGGACACAAACGGCCCTGCTTCTGGCCGCACCTCTTGGCTGCTTCCTGGACGTGGATTGGACTGCCACCCCAGGCCCCTGCCGACCACCCCGTCGCACAACGATGCGCATCGTCGCCGGGGTCTTCCTCGTCTTCCTGGACCTCCCCTCACCATTTGGCGGCGCAAGTGGTTCATCGCCAACTTGGAGTACCTCTACCCCCCGGACGTCGACCTGGTTTCGTCCTTCCGCACGCGGCACTTGAGGATGGTGATTTTGGCGCGCCGTCGACGGCAACGCAACTTCGCTCTCCCTCCGGGACTTCGCTTCTGGCTCCTGTCCAAGGCGTACCTTTTCCTTTGCAAGCTCTTCAGCACCGCCTGCGCCCCGCGCCCTCCGGCCGCCTGAGGCCCCGCCCGCCCGCGCTCTTTCTCCCCAAGTAGTGCTTTGCGCGGCCCGCCTAGCTCTTAACCGGAAGAGGCTCGCTCTCGACCCGCAGACAAAAAAATGCGTTCGTTCGCTCGCAGTCCGCTTCGGTGCGTCGGACTTGGCCGAGTCGGCGAGCGATCTGCCGCGGAACGCAATTCGTCGCCGTTGCCGTTGCTGGCCTGCGCCGCCGCTGCCGCTGCCCCAATGCCCGCGGGTTTCTTGCGCCAGGCCACTGACGGTTGACGGCGCCGAGCTCGTCGGGCTTGGGACGGGCGCCACCGTGGCCGGCAGGGCGCACCTGTCCCTCGCGCAGGCCCTGGGCGCTGCCGCGTGGCTCTAGGCGCCGCCCTGCGAGGCCACCAGCACCGCATTCCCGCGCGTCCTCATGCAGGTTTGCCTGGAGCGGCAGCTGCGAGTCCAGCTCCTGCAGGAAGACTGGTTTTGCCCAGCCTGTTGCAAGGTGAGGGCCCCGGAGCCCTTGAATCGGCCAGAATCATTAAACCAGGTCTGCCGCAGCTGGTGTTTTTTTCGAGTGACGGCAGTTCCGGTTAGTGGAACGGGACGGGGGTTCGTCCCCAAGTACACATCACTAAGCCAGGTCCCACTAAACCCAGTTCTGCCAACGCCCGATTTATTCGACGCCATGGCCGCTGGCCGCGCCGGCGTGGACTGCGAGCGCCCAGGGCTGCATCCCCGCGCCCCGCCGCGGAGACCAGCCCCGGGGGCGAGCACGGCGGGCCCCTGGTGGACGACACTGGCCGCCGCCCTGCCGACGTTTACCTTCCACGCTGGCGCAAACGCACGGCGGCCGCCTGGGACTTTGCCGCCACGTATGGGTTGCGCGTCGATTTCCTCGCCGTGTCGGCCGCTTCGTCGAGCGCGTCGACGGAAATTGCGAGGAGTTCAACAAACAGCATCAGGATACCGCGCGGCCATGCGCGGCATAAGACTTCACCTTTCCCCCCATGGTGGTGGACACCCGCGGCGGCGCGTGGGGCCGCGAGGCACGCAGGGCCTTCGGGGCCCTAGCCCAGCGGGTGGTTGACGCCACGGGGGAAGACGTCGCAGCGGTCGCAGACCAACACGCCCAGCGACATTCCGTTTCCTTGTGCAGGTGACACGCGCGGGCGGTGTTGCGGAACGTCCAGATGCAGTCTGGACGGGCGTGGGTGTTTGCGGCCTGTCTTGGCCGCGACCGCAGTCCCCCGCCCCACCTCCCCCGCCTTTGCTGGGCAGCGCGGCCCGTCCCCCGCCTTTCGGCCAGCGTCGCGCCGCCGCCGGGCTCTTCCCCAACGAGGCGGTGGGTCATCCCGCAAGGGGGGTCTCCCCGCCAAGCCGCAGCGCGTTGGGTTCGGTCGGCCACCCCGCGCCGCTCCCCGACGACCCCGGCGGCCTTTCCCGACGAACGCAAACGGCCCCCCTCCCGGTGCCCACCGCCCACTCCGACGATGCGCCTGCGCCGCCGTGTCGGTGTGCCGCCGTGGGGCCCGTGGCCTCGTCGATGGTGCCCTTCTCTCCCGGACCCTGGCCGTGCCTGTCAGCCAGCGGTTACTTTCCCTTTCCTCCTCTTCCTTGCCTCGTTCCTTTTCCTCCTCCTCCTCCTCCCTGCCTGCTGTCTCCGACAGGCCCCCCATTCTGCCTGCCCGCCCGTCCCGCCGGCGTTGACCTCCCGCTTGCGCCTTCGTAGTCGTTTGCCTGGTTCTCCCCTCTTCTTCTTTCGCCACGCAGCGCGGCTTGCCCAGAACCAGCAGCGTAGCGGCGCGCGGGGCTCCTTCAACGAGTGGTTTGAGTTGACGTGGGTCGTGATTTCGACATCGCGTTCGCTCGCCCCCTCTTTCGGTTGCCCCGCCCCCCGAGGGACGCCACCACCGCGCGGTTTGTGGGTGAACCTTGTGTTTCCCCGCTCGGGTTGCGCGAGTCGCCAGCCGAGTTTTTGTAGCCTCGGCTGTACTTTCTGGGCTCTCGGTTCACTGATTCCGCTGCGTCGCCTCACGTGCGGCCGCGACGCAACAAACATGTTGTGTTTCATGGGCGTGCGTGCGGATTGCCTTGGCCGTTGCGCTTGTGGCTCATTGAGTCAGGTTGTTGCATGATGTTGTGTGTGTTCACCGTTTTGCAGAGGAAAATGAGGGACACACACACACACGGCTGTCATGTGCCATGCGGTTTTTCGTGTGGCAGACAAACAAGTTGTTGGTCGGTGTGCGTGAGAGGCTGCATCGTTGCTCCGCCAGATCGTTTGGACGATGCTGGTACGCGGTGCTGAGTGAACAGGGACCATACAGGGACATCCGTGCGAATTGTCTAAAACAGTTGTCTTTCTTCCGCTCCGCGGGTCTCATCATCAGGCTTAGCAGTGCTGAGGACGACAAACTGGATCCCATCCTGGAGAAGCTGCTGCCCTTGGTGCGGGGTGCGTGTGCTTCCATGTCCATGGAGGGGGGGTCGTTTGCATTATCGGGCGCACGGTTTTTTCTTGGGATGCAAACCGCGGCATAGCTTTCACGGTATATTGATTCCTGTTTGTATGTTTCAACGTGTTATCGCAATTCAATGTGCATGGTGGCATGATGCCAACAATTGTGCGTGATTGCAGCTGGTGCTCATATCGGCAAGCGTGGGCCACAAACTGAGTGCCATTGCGCCGTGGAGGTGGAAGCTATGCGGTGTAAGCTGTATGGAAAACTAGATCGTGCATGCTAGGTGGTGCGAGCTGTGGAGGTGAACGTTGTGCGTTGTACGCTATATGGTGTAAGCTATGTCGAGTCAGCTAGGTGGTGTGATCCGGAGGTGTACTCAATAGGGCGTAAGCTCTGCGATGCAAACATTGTTGTGTGCTATACGCGGTGTGAGCTATGTGATGTAAGCTATGTGATGTAAGGCATGTGGTGAAGTAATAACGTGTAAACTCACAGCACGAGGAGGCAATGAGACAGCACCAACCTGGCACCAGCCGAAACTCCAACACAACTACCCAGCGAACGAGGCGGCAACGAGGCGGCAGCGAGGCGGCATCAACCGGGCACCAGACGAAACCTCGAAACACCCACCCAGCGCACGAGGCGGCAATGAGGCGGCAACGAGGTTTGCCCCGAGTGGGTACCACCCGAAATCCTGACGCACTCGCCCAGCGCACGAGGCGCGGCATCTACGGGGTATCAGCCGAACCTCGACATACCCACCCAGCTCACGAGGTGGCAACGAGGCGACAGCGAAGCGGCAACGAGGCGGGACCCACCGGGCACCAGCCGAAACCCCGACACATTCACCCAGTGCGCGATGTGGCAACGAGGCGGCGTCAACCTGGCACCAGCCGAAACCCCAACACACCCCTAAGTGCAGGCACTGTTTTGGGAGTGATTCCATTCTTCTCACACTTTTCCCGTGGCTACGTCGTTATTGCCATCGCGCCCATATGATCACGTGTCGAGACACGTTGTGACGAGGTGTTCGATGAGCTCTTGACGCAAACAGATGCCGCGCTGCGGACGAAGATCGTAGGCGTCCTGAACCATGTCCTGACGCGGGTGAAGGCACCCACCTTATGATCTTTCACCGTGGCGATACACATTCTGTCCATGTCACCCCTTCCCTCTCTCCTTCCTGTACTCTCTGCTCTTACTCCCTCCCGCTTTCCTCAACATTTTCCCCTTGCCCTGCCCCCCTCCCCCATCTACGCCTCCATTTCCTCAAATGTTCCTCCTTCAGGTATTTAAGCCCATTCTCTACGCTGGCTCAGGCTGTCCCACTCTTGGTTCCAGTTGGTGATTGGCCACCGCCCCACAGGTCGAATCTTGAACATCAAACCATCTTTCTCACACTTGCTCCTTACCTGCTGATTGACCTGGCAGTCAGGGCACCTGCGCGTATACTCAGCCGAGCAAACATATTTGGAATCGCCTCTCGTCCATTCGTTCAAGCTGCGGGTTACCGAAATACTTTCCCGGGTGCAGCTTTCACTTTTTCCTCACAGCGTCTAGGGAAGAGGATGAGGATAATGAGGAGGAGAGGGGCAGGACGTATGTGGGGAGGCGTTGCAGGATGAGGAATTCCAGGAAGAGTACGAAAACTCGAATGTCGATGATGATGATGATGATGATGATGATGATGATGATGATGATGATGATGATGATGATGATGGTGATTGTGATGGTGATGGTGATGGTGATGATGCTGATTATGATGCTGATGCTGATGATGATGATGATGATGATGATGATGATGATGTTGAGGGTGCTGATGATAAGGATGACGATGATGATGACGATGGTGAGGACCATGACAATGACGATGATGACGATGATGCTGATGATGATGGTGGTGATGATGATTGCGATGGTTATGATGTTGATGATGATGATGATGATGATGATGCTGATCATGAGGATGAGGATTCTGAATGTGGTGGTACTGATGATGGTGATGCTAATGATGATGATGGTGATACTGATGATGCTGATGAGGATGATGACGGTGATAAGGATTATGATGATGATAATGCTGCTGATGATGAAGATGATGAGGATGACGATGATGATGACGATGATGATGACGACGATGGGGGTGCGTGCACGGACATGGTTGGAGAGGAGTGGGATGTCGTATCTTTGAGTAGCAGCAGCAGTTGTCAGCCCCCGCGCGCTCGCCTTTCTTGCAGCTGCGTCTCTGAAGCCGACTTGGTTCGAAGAGGCATGGTTCACGCCCCTCAGAACCTGCCTCTGTGGTTGGTTCTCTGGCTACAGCTGGCCCACCTCGGGTTTGATAGCGTGGACCGCGCTCCCTGGCTGGCGCTGGAGGAGCTGGACCGCGCTGCGGCGGCGGGTCCGCCGCGCTTCACTATGAATAGCGAGGGCCGCCGAGGCGAGCTGGTCTCCGCGATGCGTGGCGACACGGACGATGCGGGGCTGTTGCCAGTAGGAGAGACAGAAACCGACCTACTATGGATGCTGATGGGGCCAGGTGGAGGCCACGCGATCGGGGAAGAGGTCAAGAAGCAAGTCGGAGACGCCATCGCTGGGAACCACGGCCTGAAGTACTTCGGTGATGAGGTCTGCAGGGTGATGAGACTGCCGATCGGTCAGACACCCCAACGTGCGGGAGAGCAACTCTGTCGTCTGCAGAACGTATTGGGGGGACACGCACCCCGCCTGGGGATGCTGCTATCGAAGATGCCGCGAAGGACCGCCTGGGCCTCGGGGGTGCGGATGCTGCAAGTGCCCCCCCCCGCCCATGAGACCCAGGCGTAGGCGAAGGCCGCTGACGATGTTCGTCAGTGCAGTTCTTTTGCTCGGACCGCGCGGCGGTCGAAACTGCGGGTGCAGTCCCAGGGCCCTAGGACTAGGGCCAAAACGGCGGCGGGCAACATGCACGCCACAAAACATGAAAAGTATGTGCATCATGCTCACAAGGCGGCACGGGCGGCAGAGGGGCAGGGGAGTGCACTCTTCACACTGGGTGAGTACAATGCTGCCCCGATGCCGCCTCCCACAAGCGTGAAACGCTGCACGCGGTCACCGCCTATACCGGCCCACAGGCCGAAACACCTCAAGCAAAGTGCGGCCTGAGGCTCAAAATATAAAAATATGAAATATGAATGTCTAGACTCACTAGTCCAGACTGTCGTCTCGATGTGCGTGCGCACATCACCGTAGCCCTCACTAGGTCCATGCAGCGGCTGCAACAGGACCTCACGGGCTCGCAGGCCCTGGAACGGCGGCCCGACGCTGGGCCTTCCGCTCCTTGGCTCTCTCACGCTGTCCGCGGCGCAGCCGCAGACGGTGTGCCTCCTCATCCTCCTGTTCAGCAGTAGGCACCATGCTGAACAGTCCGTGGCGGAGGAACTGCGATAGCACCTCGTTAGGCTGCACGGCCTTCGTCAGCACGTCCGCCAGCATGTGGCTATTGGGCAGCCACTTGAACTTGATGGCCTCCTGCTCGATCAAATCCTTGGCCACCAACAAGCCGATGAGGGTCTGCCGCGACACCGGCATCGAGCCGATCTTGGACGTGTGATCGTAGAGCGACTTCGCATCCGTCACAAGCGCCCCCGGAACCTTCAGCACCAGCCTCCAGTCCCCTTGCAAGGGCGGCTCCCCGTACAAGACTGCCTCGATCAGCAGCCTGAGGTAGAGCTGCCGATCCAAAGCCACGGACATAGCTGCAGACTCTGCGGCCATCGTAGATCCAACAACTCGTGTAATAGTACTACTCTGGAACTCCACTAGACAACACACAGCTAACTCCTTCAACACTCGGGTATCCGTAATCATACTCATGAACCCCATCTGGCTCTTACAGCCGGGTTCCTTCGCAAACGAAGCGTCCATGAGCGTGAGCACCTGCAAGCGCTCGATGTCCACACGGCGGATCCGGAGAGTCGCAAGACCTCTCTTGTCGTAGTCCTGAAGCCGGTCGATGATGTCATTGAGCACTCGCAGGTGCAATAACCTCCGACCTTTCGGATCCTTCTGTGCGAGCGCCGGCACACTGTACGCGAGCTGTGGCACCACACGTGCGACAGGCCAGCGCACCTTCTGGAGCAAGCTCCGGAAGTCGTGGTGCTCTTCGGGAGTCATCTCCCGCTCCTCGTCCTCCCCCCCTGCAAGGGGGTGCTTTGTCAGCTTGCTGATGTACTCGTGCATGCTGATCTCGATGTGATCGGGGTGGCGGCACCACTCCTCCCCGAGATAGGCGACTGCCTCCTTGTCATTGCCCTCCTTCCAGTGCTTGATGTTGAAACGCCTGTTGATATTCGCCTTCACCTTCTGGTACTGGGGGTCGCGCGGGTCCCCAAACAGCATGCCGTCGTCGACGTGCAAGGTCAACATAGCAATCAACTTGCCGGTCGCCCGATAAACGAAGACAGCCCGAGCACAGCGCAGCTCCACAAAGCCGACCTCGTCCGTCAGCACCTGGCGGGCTCGGAGATACCACAACCGAGGCGCCTCCGTCAAACCGTACGCCCCTTTCAGCAGACGAAGCAACGCATAAGGCCGCACAGCCGGCCATCCAGCGCCGTCGACGGCCGGAAGCCCGTCCTTAGGAGCCCTCACGTACAGCTCCCGCTCCAGCTTCAGGCCGGACAGGAACGCAGTCGCTACGTCGAAGCACTCGAATGTCCAATCCATCGCCATTGTAATAGACGCACACACCAGCACGGCCAAAGGGGAAGTAGTAGGTGAATCCGTCCTGAATAGACCAAGCTGCGGGTCAAGATGGCCAGGGATGATCAAGCGCGACTTCGCCTCCAACTCCGGCCCTCGCCCCCGGTTCGTGCGAACCGAACGCATGGGCACCGAGATGATCTCATCCTTCGGAATACTCTTCTCCTCCTCCTCGGTGACCAGCTCGACCGTGTTGTTGGCGATCCATTGTCGCCACTCGGCGGCATCGGCCTCGTCGAACTTAGCCTTCTCGTGCTGGTCGAAGTGACGTGGGTCTAGCTCCTTCGCGTTCTGCTTCATCACGAGCGCGAACACGTCGTGCTCGTACCGCGCCTCCTGCAGCCATGCGTCATACACAGATGACACGTTGATCCACTCCTCGTAAGTCATCGGCTGCCGTACAAGACCCTCCGGAGTGTCCAATTAGTACACCCCCTGTGCCTGAGCATCCGGCTTGTCGTGGTAGTAGAGCGTGAGACCAACCCAGCTGTCCTCCATGCGCTCGTTGGTACGGCTCGCGCCGTCGTCCTTGTAAGCACACTGCCCCGTGGCGGAGAGCATCACCGACAGGCGATTGCACTCCCGGTGACGGTCGTGATCATAGAGTTGCCGCCGTGGCTCTCGATGCACACGGACTCCTCGCACGACCTTCTGAACGAGCGTGGAGACGCCATCCAAGGCATTCTGGTCGAACCACTCCTGGGGCCCCGAGTGCACCACAGCGTTCATGGCCACCTCGCGGAGGGCCGGCAAGCCACTCGTAGGGGCACCCTGCAGACGCGATCTTTTAATGCAACTCGGCACGTCATCTACCAGAAACTTCCGCTTCCGCTCGAGCTCGAAATCGTCTCTGGGGATCGGCGGCACCGAAGGGCCGCCAGAGCCCGATGCTCCCGGAGAAGCTTCCGGGTACGTCCCAGAGGACATCCGGCCTGGAGGGGAACGAGACCGGGCCCTCCTCGGAGGCGGAAGCTGCGGCAACTGCTCCTGCTCAGGTGGCTCCTCCTCCTTGGCCTGCGCCTCAACGGCGTCCAGGGCCCTCAGATCCACGCGAGGCTGCCTGGACCCCTCGAGCTCACTATGTCGGTCACGCTCCTTCTTCAGGAACGTCTTCTTCACCCTCTGGACCTTCACCTTGGGCGTGACGTCCACGATGTCGTGATAGGCGCGATCATCTCGCTGCTGCGTCAGCCGCACGTCCGTCTGGATGGACTCCGCAGCCGCGGCCTCCTGGGAGGAGGCGTGCCGGAGCTGCTCACGAGCAACGAGTAGCACGTGACCACGCCATGATAAGTAATACCGGCTGTTGGATTCCTTCGCGATCACAGTCACAGGACCCCGCCACCTTTCAGGATCTTGCCGACGACTTC